CAAGCCTGGGCCTGAACTCTGAAAATTCATCTTCCTGCCACCAAGTGGCTATATTGGCTGAAATTCTGTTCCTTTTGTGGAAGCCCATTTGCTTTTTAATAGCTTCCAGGTCAATATTGGGCAAATTTTGCTCTCCTCTCCTCTCCGACTTTTCTTAATTCGCAAAAGGGCGGCTGATCCAAAAAAACGTGAGGTCAACACGGAGGAGCTGAGCGACATACCCAAACATCCAACCACACACACTCACGCACACAAACACGCCGATAGGCATCACCTATCAACAGTCATCAGTGCCCAAAGTTCCATTTCACTTTGACCACAACCGCAAAGTTGCGCGCCTTCGTTAGGACAGCGTGGGTCCTGTTGCCTGAAGAGGAGGTAGCCCCAGCCAAAGGCTGACGGACCAGCTGAACTGGTGAGGCAAACGGAGGCATAGCACAAGCGTAGGGATGAGATGAAAGGTCGAACAATGGACAGATTAGCCTGGGCTGGGCTCAGGAGTGACTGGGCAGGAAATGGGATGGTCCTTTGGGGGCTGACGTATTCGGACAACAATCGGGATCAGTCTGTTTTCGCGCCCGATGGCTAGTCTGCCTGAGGCGCGGAGAGACGGAGAAACAGGTTGACTGGGAACAAAATAACACCAACTCTTTAAATAGCCCAGCAGTGGACCGATAAATAAATGCCTCATTAAAACGAAGACCAATTTTGTCGTCACCTAGGGCCGTCAGGGCGTGGGTTCGGCGAACCATCAGTACAGACATGAACGAGAAGAGGGCATTTCAGTTTGACCGCCTCGCTTTGGCGACCGGATCAGCAAGCTTTCGTCGTTTCAGACATTGGCGTTGTAGACGGGCCGAGGGAAAAAGACGTGGGCGAGTCAACAGTTCGAGCGGTTATGGACACGACGGCGAGCATGTGTGTGCATTGGCAAGGAAATTAAGGGCAAATTTGGAGTTGTAGGCAAAGGCAGACGCTGGCCTGTTGTAGCGACGACAATGAGAACATTTGTGTGAATTGGGATACGCATCTACATCCGTGCGTATGCATTGTGTATGCATATATGCATATATGTATGTATGTATGTATGTATGTATGTATGTATGTATGTATGTATGTATGTATGTATGTA